CTCCTCGACCACCGCCTGAGTTCCGTAAGACCATTGTCTGACGTTGTTGCTCCGCCGGACCACCACTTGAGACCTTCACCTTTGTTGGACCACCACTTGACGCCCTCACCCTAGCCGGACCACCACTTAAGGCCCGGACTTCTGCTGGACCACCACTTGAGGCATGAACTTCCGCCAGACCACCACATAACGCCCAAACTTTCACTAGACCCCAACTTGAGTCCCTGTGCTCCACCTGGCCACGAACTGACACCCGGACTTTGTCGGACCACCACTTGAGGCCCAAGCTTCCGCCGGACCACCACCTGAGGCCCGTCCTTCCTCGCGGACCACCACTTGAGGCCCTATGCTCTACCATGCCACCAGTTGAGGCCCGGACTTCTACCAGACCATCACCTGACGCCTAGACTTCTCCCGGACCACTACCTGACGCCCAAACTTTTATCGAACCACCACTTGATGCCCGGACTTCCGTCGGACCACCACTTGAGGCCCTCACTTCCGTTGGAGAACCACTTGAGGCCTTGAATTATGCCTGACCACCACTTAAGGCTCGGACTTCTGTCGAACCACCACCCGAGGCCCGGACTTCTACTGGACCACCACCTGAGGCCCAGACTTCTGTCGGGCCACCACAGGATGCCAAGAGTTCTACTGGAGTACCGCCCTACTACAACGTTCTTTCTGATCCTGATCTCTAGCCAGACAATGTTCTTTCTAACCCTTGTCTCATGCCGACTATGGTCCTTCTGACCTTTGTCGCCTACTACAGTATTTTCGACCTACATCGCCAGACAACATTCTTTCTGACCTCAGTCTTCTGCATACTACGGTTCTTCCGACCTACATCGCCAGACAATGATCTTTCATGTCTCCTGCTGACTACAATCTTTCCGACCTCTATCCTATCAACTATGGTCCTACCGACCAAACAAACATGTCTATGTTGATTGTTGTAATTCCCACCATGTAATGCACTCTATATGTCGTTCATTTGTGACTTCAAGCCAAGGCCTTCTCCTAAGGAAGGGCCTCATTTGTAAACGACTACAAATACTAGTGAATTCATTCAAACTGGGCCACACCCTGTGATTTTACCTCTTTTCAGGGGTTTTCACATAAAAACTCTAGTGTCTCTTATGAACGGTTTACTCTCTCTCTTATCTGCTTGTGTACTAGATCTTCATACAATGCTAAGACATTAAACTATATATTTCTCTACCGCCATGAATATTCCAAGACGCAACAAGTGTACATATGTTTTGGATGTGCATATATATAAGCCAGAGTAAGAAGTTGTACAGTCAGACTTTTTGAGTATTTAAATGATATTTGAAAGTTTAATAAAATTTGTATTTTATTTGATGCGTTTTAAATATGCTTCCAGTTATGAAATATTGATTCAAGTTATGAATTAGTGAAATATAATATTGAGACTTTAAAAGCTTGATGTGTTGAGATTAGGGGTGTAAGTCAGCCGAGCTGGCTCGTGAGCCGGCTCGAACTCGACTCGTTAACGAGCTCGTGAGCCAAGCTTATCGAGCTCGAGCTCGAGCCTACAATTGAGCTCGTATGATAAACGAGCTCGAGTTCGAGCTCAACCCTACTCGATTATATATATATATATAATATTTATATTTATATATAATATTTATAATATTATTTCTATATATAATAATATGCAACAAATGCATTGGTGCTTCTCAAATATGCTCGAGCTTGATATTTTCTAAACGAGTCGATCTCAAGCCCACTAATCAAACTCGAGTTCGAGCTCAATAAGGATTAAACGAGCCATGCTTGATAAGGTAAATACTCGACTCGTTTACACCCCTAGTTGAGACAGTCTGAATACGCTATTTTCACTCACTTGATCATGATAGAAGTATTTTAGGATGAATGTTAGTAAGAGATATCTCTCCAGATTCTTCTTTGTTATATTTCAGATTGATTGAATGAGTGTCAAAATATGGTGTGATAAACTAAACTCACCTAATTTTGAGCGAGAACTGTTTACACAACAAGCAAGCTTAATTGACCTCCACCAACGTTCGCCACCACCCAACGTGAGTCACTAGCACCCACCGGCTACCACCCATAGTCGCTTGAAACCGTCGTCACCGTCGACCACCACCATTAGCGGCAGCCACCACCTATCGCCAACCACCATTGCCAACCATCATATTGAGACTTTGCACTATATTCATTTTCTTCAAATAAAATTAAAAAAAAACATTCACTTGTATTTGTTTTACACTCATCCAAATAATTTCAAAATTTCATTTTTACATTGTATTCCTTTTACATTATAATCCTTTTTTTAGCCAATCAAATAGCCCTTACCTTAACTAATCATATGTATCTTGAAGACCCAAACATTACTGATTGGTGACGACAAAATATAAACAAGAGTATTGCATCCAATAAATCTCATTTCACTCAGACCATTTGGCGTTTGATCCAAAAGATATGGTGAAATTGTTAAGCAAACTACTAGATATGGAAATAATAGGACATGTAAGTATTCATCAGTTCTATCAATTCTTTACAATGATTTGATGATTACAGGTAAATGTCAAGGGTTGTGGGAAAATCGGACCCGGGATCAACGGAACACGAATTGAGAAAAGGAGAAGTTCGATGGTTCGATATCCAATTCGACTTAGTGTGACTCGGGGTCGAACCTAATGAAGTAATAAATAATAATATTTATTAAAAGTAATTGAAAATTAACATAATAATAAATGACAATTTAATCTTAAAAATTTGTATAAACTCCTAAAAATTGAGACTTAAAAAAATGAATAAAATCAATACACATGATATAATAATAAAGTTTATTTACATAATTTTAAAATTTAATAAAATAGATTATGTATTTATGTTAATGATGGTTGTAAATATAAATTAATTACTAATTTTAAAATTTAAATATATAACATCTTCACGATCTTCAATTTTAATTTATATTTATATAGAAAATTTTAATTTATATTATAAGATAGTAAATTGGATTATAGATATAATTGTTGTATGTTATTTATTTAAAGGCATAATTATATTTATAAAATTATGATATAATTTACATTATAAACTATATTTTATATAAAATACAAACAATATTTTTAGTATTTTTTAATATTTTTTCTAGCATTATAATTACTTTAGAAATAAGTTAGAACTTTAAAAATTATAAAGAATACATTTTTTATTTGAATAATTATAAATATATAATTGATTAAGATTTAAAATTAAAAAAAATTATTAATGATTCTTTATTTGAATATGTACAAGCTTTTCCAACAAATATTTCAATTCAAATAATCTAATGCCCCATTGGTTGAAAGTTGAAAACGAAACTATTAGTAGTTTACCTCACAATACTAGGAGTTTTATGTTTATTTTATATACTTTTTCTTACCCCATGGAATATAAGAACTATATGATATATGGCATAAGTAGAATAATTATTGTAATATTTAATATAAATTACAATTAAACTTTGAATATATTGTTCAATAAATATAATGATAGTTAAATTAATTTTTAATAATTTAATATTTAATTAAATATTTTATATTAAATTAAAATATTTAAATATATTATTAGTTGAATTGGCCGGTTCTTAAGATATGGGGCCGGTTGAACCGGCGGTTCAAACTGGTTTTGACTGGTTCGTTGTTAGATCGGTTCACGGTGTTGGTCCGATTTTCAAAACAATGGTAAATGCATCTGAAAATCATATTATAAAACACCAAGGATTTGCAATGTAAGAGAAACAATCATTCAAGGACAAAAAATAACAATCATCAATTAGAAATAAAAAAAAAATGCAATTAAATAATCACAAAATATCAAAAAATAATTAAAATCAATCTATTCTGTAATAATATTTGTAATAATGATTTTCACAAAGTTGATCTAATAAATAGGATCCGTTTAGGATTAGGGATGTCAATAAATGACAAACTCGACCTGAACCTGACCTAAAAAATATGAATTTAGATTGATCCGTTTAATAAATGAGCTTTATTTGGATCATGCATTCAATTTGTTTATTAAACAGCTAAGAGTTTGGGTTGACCTACCAGCTTGAAAATGATCCGTTTAATTTTTTTTCTTAACTTTTTTTTTTATTGATATAACATTTTTTTACCAATTAACTTGAAATCAATGATTAATAAGTTAATAAAAATATATATTTTTAATTAAAACAGACTATCATATTATGTTAAGGCTGCTAATGGGGCAGATTTAGGTTCAATATTTTGATATGTTTATTAAACACGTCATGTTTGAGTTGATTAGATTCTGGTAACGTTTATTTGAAACTGACCCGTTGACCCATTAACTCATCTTGACACCTCTATTTGAGATAGTTGTTTTTTTTTTTTTTTTTTTTTTTTTTTTTTTTTGTAAATGTGGGTTTTGTTAGATGGAATGTAATTTTTTTTTAAAATTGATGTAAATAATAACTTCATAACACAATTTAAAAAAAATCAGTAAGAAAATAATTAAAAAAATAAAATAAAATTGCCCTTATGATTTTAAAAAACACAACAAAAACCTATAATGAAGTTATCACGAACAAACTCTTGATACCGCTGGTTATTTTTTATTTTGAACAGCTAAATTAATTTTAAAGAATTTTTGAACTAAACCATATTTAATCACGTTGAAAACTATTCTCTCTTTAATTTGTTTGTTAATATAAAACTAAATTTTAATTAAATTATAATTATATTATTCTCCTGGAGCTTTCCAGAACTATCTTCCCGCGAGGATTTCCACAAGACCACAAGATCCACTCTTCCACGTGTCCACACCATCTTCTGATTGCAGTCGAAATTACCTTAGAGGACAAAATTCCGTCGTACTACAGAGGACACGAGCTTCAAGCCTATAGGGGTATTTATGTATATCACAATGGCGTTTCCTTTTTTTAATACGGAAACAAACAGAGAACGTGGAGTTCTAGAGACGTCGAGAGAGATCTGAGGAGCAAATCGGTCTCTTCGGATTTCTATATTTTCGTCCTCCTACTCTGAACTTGTAATTAACCTAATTGAGAAGCGGAGGCGAGAGTATAGTTGAGGAGCAAGGAAGAGAGGTGAGCTTGGCTTTTGGGCTGAGTTAGACTCCGAGTTGGAGTTCGATTGTCGACGGTTAAGGGTAGTTTTGTTAGAGATGGCGAGCTTTGTGACGGGAAAGATGAAGAGGAAGGGGGTTGACGAGGTTTTTGACGATTTCTCTGATTTGTCATTCTCTGCTCCGGCTTTGAAGATTAGGAGGCTGGTAAGCCAATCTTCTACGTTTGCTGATGATATTTCTCTTTAAGAATAATTCTGTTGTATTTTCTTTGTTTGCTTTTTGAAACACAGAGCTACGCAGCTCACTTTGATCTATCAATGAAGATGTCGTAATGTGATTTGTGTGTGAATTTGCCTTAATTGGCTCAAATGTTAAAAAAAAAAACACAGAGCTGAGATCGGGCTTTTCATAAACCTAAATTGAGTATTTTCGCTTCTGGACTGAGTGTATTTGGGAGATTTTTATGTAAAGTATGCTGTGGTGCTACGTAGAAGACTTACGAAATAACTTGTTGGAAAAAAATTTTTTGATCTACTTTTGTTAATTTCATTGGTTTCCTTATAATAAACTGTTTTTTATGTAAGAAAATTTTTATATTGTTTTATTTGTTTGCTTTTTTTTTTTTATACACAGATGAGATCTACTTTGTTGGCTGTTCTTTTTCAGATAATAATCTCTGGTTTTTAGCAGTACGAGCTACTTGAGCTACTTGATTGATTTACTTTGGTTTGATTGTGCGATGTAGTGAATTTGGGAATTTCATTCTGCAATTGCCATATAACAATTCTATGCTGGTTCGATTAACTTTTTTAATCTATGAGTTTTCGTCTGCAATTATATTAGTCTGATTTTATGTTGATTTAATAGCTCAGGCCTCATCTTATGTAACACTGTTCTAAAACTTGCCTTCGCTTTCTGTTTCCCACTTTATTAACGAGAGCCCATTTCTCTTCTGTTGAATATCAGAAAGCTCATGTATTCTGTGTTCTAAACACGTCCCTTTAATTGTAGAAACAGCACTTAAAAGGATCTGAGTTTACTAGCTGTTTCCCTTCTTTTTGTAGCGACTTTCTAAACTCCTCTGTACCTGGAACAAACCTGTTTTGCTGCTTCTGGTGCAGCTTGTTGCATCAGAAGGTCCTTAAAGTTGGTTTTTAAACTGTTTGTTTTTGTTATTCAGGACGCTGAACTGCCTCCAATTATGGAAGAGCGTGATCCAATTGGACGCTCAGTGCTTGAACCCCAACTTTTAAAAGGGGATATGGGTGATGCAGTGCCAGATATGGCGTCAGTTATGAAGGAGGAAGTTTTCCCTCCCACAGTGAACGAAGAGAGAGCACTTGTTTTATATAAGCCTCTCCATTCCAATTTTGTTCCTTCATTGACGATGGATCCAGAACTGATAAGTGGTCTGAAGGGTAAAGTATCTCCCAAGCCTTCTTCATATCAACTTGTTGTGATTTATGCTATTGCCATTCTTTGTTTGTGAGTAGGCTATCTATCTTCACTGCACTCTCATGTAATAAAGATCGTGAATATTCTTTTGCAAGTTTTAAATAATGATAAGTTGTTGAAATTTATAACTTATAATGTTTCTATGTTTCTATTTTACAAGAAATTATTAGGTGTGGAGTCCGGACATAGAGATACGGCTGGATATCCACTTAAAATTTGACACGTGGGATACACTTTGGTTGCACTTTTTTGTGCACTTTATCTACGTTTTACATGTGCTTTAGTTACACTTTAGTTGCGGGTTGACTGATCTTTTGTTGCACTTTTTGACTGCATTTTGTGTGCTTTGGATGCGCTTTTGCTGCGCTAGGCTTAAAGTTTTGCGGACACATTAAATATATAAAGTAAAAAATAAATCCGATTAAATATCCACGTGTTCACTCCACATGTCAACATTTTATAGGAGTTTGGGCGCATCTCTACTTCTGGACTCCGCACCTAATAATTTCTCCTATTATACAACTAAAGTTGCATTCTTGACAATAATAATGTAGATATGCAACTTTTGAGGAAATATATGGAAACAATAATAGTGTAATTAGCAGAAGGAAATTTAAATACAAATATACATAAAACTATGAGCTATTGGGGTCTTCATAGCTTAGTGGTTAGGCGATGGCTCCAATGGAATCTCTTCTTCAATCACACAATATAGTATCAGAGTGGCTCAAACAAATTATTAGTACTATCAACCATATAAAAAGCTTCCAAAGATTGCTTTTTTCCTGAAGTTCTATTTGTCTAACAAATGCTTTACTTTACAAAAAGCTAGCTTTTCTTATTTGTAATGTTAGCCAGTATGGCATCCTTTTCCTGATAGATGTGATTATTAAAATTTATTGCAGATCCTTCCTTCTGGCCTGGATATCAGAACTTGGTGGAGGAAGACTTTGTTGAAGAACAGCAATCATCTTCTATTAACCGTCTAGCTCTTATTCCCTGGGTTCCTTCTAATCATTCTGCGTCACGACTGGAAGTTTCATCCTCTGAAAATGGGACAGTAGAAGAGGTAATGGAGGAAGGAGCAGATGGTGAATCAATGGAAATTGATGGCGGTCATGGGCATCTCGTTGAAGCTGGTTTTGGATCTGGAAGCTTTCGTCAATGGCAGCAACACTGCATGATTCCAGAGCACACGCACTTTACATCTACTCCAATATTAGGATCATGGTAAAATAGAGAACTTGGAAGTCTGATGCAGCTAGCCATGGCCTTTCTTTGTTAGGAGGCAGATGTGTAGTCTTTACTTGAATTGATGAGGATGCATATCTTTCCATGCTCCCTTTTGCACTCACTTACTCGTAAGACTTGTTCTAGCCATGGGATGATGGAATAAAGAAAATCCTTATTAGTTCAGTATGCTGAGGTGTTAGTCATCATTTTAGACCAGATTAAAGAGCCTGGTTACATCATAAACTTTTTGTATTTCCTTGGAACATGCTAGCAATACAAAATGTGAGTCTAGTTTGACCTGTTGATTTATTTTGGTTTAAAAAAAAATTATAACTTACTAGCGATAGATTTTAGAATAATTGATCAAAATTGAGAAGATTATTGATATATAATAATAATAATAATATCTTGATCGGGCAAGAATCGCAAGGGAAATTAAGTTGGAAATTTCAAAAATTAAATCCGAGGCTATATGAACTCCAATTTTAGAAAATTTATAGGTGAATTGAATGTTTTGAAAAGACAATCCTGACGACACCTAATTCGGCTCAATTTGAGCCCAAATGAGTCCAAATCAATGACCTAAAGTGCTTTTGGAAGGTTTGATTAATAATTTGGATTATCAAACAGTTTTTAAATGTAATATACTTATAGTTGAATTGAGCGGCCCGATGAGACGATTCAATGAGCCCATATTAGTAAAACATTCAAATGCTCAATAAAAAAATCATGATCGAGGGATTCAACTTTTGTTGTCCATTCGAATCATTCTCAATTTATTCTTGATCTTCCTCCTATTTATTGATCATGTTATTCTTTGAAAATTATAAAATAGATCTCTCAATTTTTTATGAGGGGGGTTAAGCAAGGAGGAAGAAGGCCAAAACAAGAAGAGAATGAATAGAATAAAGAGATAGAAGAGTTTTATTGCCACCAGATTTCTCCTTGATCACCTCCCAGCCATCTTCTGACGTCGAATTTTCACCTGTCATCGGACTTCTGCCAGTCGTCGGACTTTTGCCAGTTGCCGGACTTTCGTCGGAATTCTACCTGATATTGAACTTTCGCCCATCATTAGATTTTCGACGAACCTACCCGACGTCGAACTTCCGCCCATTGCTAGACTTTCGCTGGACTTCTATTCGATGTCAGACTTCCACCCATCGTCGGGCTTTCGTCGGACTTATACCTAATGCTGAACTTCCTCTTATCGCCTAATTTTACCTGACATCGAACTTCCAACCATCGCTGAACTTTTATCTGAGTTATACTCGACGTTGGACTTCTGCCAATCGTCGGATTTCTACCCGACGCTGGACTTCCGCCCGTCCCCGGGCTTCTGTCCGGTCGCCAGACTTTTGTTTGATGTCGGACTTCTGTTCATCGTTGAACTTCTGTCTGACACCAGATTTCCGACCTCTGTCGCCAGCAGACTATGTTCCTTCCGACCTCCATAGCCAAACAACGATCTTTTCGACCTTTGTTGTTTTTCTACTATGGTCTTACCGACTAAACAAACATGTCAATACTAATTCTTCCACTTTTCACTATGTAATGTATTTTATATAATGTATATTTGCTACATCAAATTATTGCTTTACCCCCAAGAAAGGATCTCATTTGTAATTGTTTGAAAAAACTTGTGTATTCATTCAAATTGGGCCATGCTCTATGGTTTTTACCCATTTTCAAGAATTTTTCATGTAAAAAACTCTAGTGTCTTTTAATAATGCTACACTCTCTCTCTTATCTGATTGCGTGCGGATCTTCAGACAAAATTAAGGCGTTAAAATTTATATTTCTCTGCCGCCGTGAATATTCTAAGAAGCAATAATTATAATTACATTCAAAAGAATTTAAGGAATAAAAAATATAAAATAGGCTATTTTTTTAGTCAAAAGAGGGTTTTGAGGGTCAACTTGACTCAACTTATTTAGTAAACAGTTCATAATTTTAAATTTTGATGAGTTAATCTGAATTTGAATTTTTTTTAAGTCAAAATTGGGTCCAATTGATAGGCTGATTTATTTATTAATACACTATAAGCATAAAACATTAATGCAGCTCATTTTATCCGTTCATCGGGAGTTTTATCAGTTTGAATTTTATATAATTAATATAAATGACCTAAAAAATATTATCAAAAATCTGTATGGAATGTAGTTCTAAATTTGGGAATCTGATCTTAGAACAAATTGGAGGATATTTAATTATTTATATATTGAAGAAATGGCCATTGTAAGCTCGGCCGCTCATTTTTCAATGGAACATATTCCATTTGAACGATCAGCGCTTGTCTTTTATGAGATTGAAATACTATGGGGTGTTTGGTTGCCTCAATTAGGAGGGTAAAGTAAAACAAATACATGTATTTACTAAATTAAGGTGTTTGATTAATTTTGAGGGGAATATAAGAAACCCATCCGATGCATTAGGCGTGTAATAAAAAGGCTATTTTGCGGTAATTAGAAACCCGCTCGATTTGAGCGGGTTATAAATTCGCTCGAAGATTTGCTTGGCGTCATTGCTGTTCGGCTTCATTGCTTCGCAGGTGGTGCAAGATTGCAGGAGAGGGTTCTTCGGTTCCTTCGTTCTTCTCAGACTTCGCGTGACGAGGACGTTCCATTTGCCTGTCCGATCGGAAGTTGCGCCATTTTCATCGGAGGTAAGGAAGGGAGCTCGAGTTCGCATCGTTGTTGCTTTTCGGCTTCATTGTTTTGCACGAGGTGTAAGATTGCACGAGAGGCTTCTAGGGCTCCTTCGTTTTTTGTTCGGCTTCACTCCTTCGACCACGTTACCTTTGCCTGTCCGATCGGAAGTTGCACATTTCCATCGGTTTTGAGAGTTTTGGAAGGCTTCGTTTGGAACATCTTTCATATTGTTTTTTACAACGGTTTTTTAGTTAATTTTTGTACTAAAAAACTGTTTTAGAAAGCAAGAAGAAAGCTAGCCCAAACAAAGTTTAAACAATCGGTGATTACTTTTATAAATACACTAGTAATAATGACAAAGAAATATTACAAATGCATTGTTATTACTTTACTTTGGATATATCTAACCAAACAAGAGAAACATTTCTCCTGTGTTTACTTTACAGACAACCAAACAGCCTCAACGTATTTGAAATGCACTGTATTTACTTTACACTGCATTTACTTTACATTGTATTTGCTTTGCAGGCAACCAAACAGCCCCTCACTTTTTTATGAATTCACTGAAAACAACCATTTTCTAAACATGATTCACTCTATGCATATTTATTCTTATATTTGATGAATATATGTCACTATAAGCATAAGCGTTATAAATATATTTTTTTCTTGTATCATTTCATTTTTGGACTAAAGTTCACATTTTTTATATTCATCAATAAAAAAACTTATATTTTTTCTTAAGAAAATAATAAAAAATTCCGAAAATCTCAATTTCGTTTGATTTGATTTGTCAAAATAGTGTTTGATTTTGATTTCAAGTTTTGCTTGACATTGTCATGATGTTTAGTGTTGTGGTGTGGCACAGTAAAACATAATTAAGTAGTGTGTAAAATGCCTTAAAAGTTGAATGATTGGTTTTTTTTTTTTCACAAGAATTTTAGAATTAATTTTATTAATAATTGCACTGAAAAATACTTTTTTAATAGGTATCACACTCTCATATATTTTGATTATAAAATCTCTATTCCACCTCTGAAAATTGTTACCAAAATACAGTCAAATAGAGGTTTAATTGCTGCCTTAAAAATAAAAATGTGAAAAAATGCCCTATTAACTCTTAGCTTTCATACAATTGAAATTTTTTTTTGTAGCAATTAAATCAAACACTTAAAATGTTTAGTTTAGGGTTCGTTTGGGATAGCTTATGGCTACTATTTTTTTTGCTATTTTTAAGAATTTTTCTCGTACTAACAAATTGATTTAGGAAGAGTAAAGAAGCTATTCCAAATGAAATCTTATATTTTCAATCTTTAGTTTTTATTAGTCATAATAGAAAACTAAAAAAAAGATTAAAAAAATTCCTATAATCATTTTTCATAGGAATCATTACCAATTAAAAAGCTTAGGTTTCATTTGGAACAGCTTTTTTACTATTATTTGAAGTAGCTTTCTAGAACACAAATTTTTAAAAAATTTTGTATTAAAAAGCTATTTTAGAAAGCAGGAAGAAAGTTATCCAAAACTAAGGCTTCGTTTGGGACAGCTTTTTATCCGTTCATCGGGAGTTTTATCTATCGATTTAAAAAGTTTTGAGTTTGAATTTTATATAATTAATCTAAATGACCTAAAAAATATTATAAAAAATCTTTATGGAATGTAGTTCTAAATTTGGGAATCTGATCTACACCGACTTTAGAACAAATTGGAGGATATTTAATTATTTATATATTGAAGAAATGGCCATTATAAGCTCGGCCGCTCATTTTTCAATGGAACATATTCTATTTGAAAGAGAGTGTATGTTGATCAGCTTCTCTTTTATGAGATTGAAATACTCACTTTTTATGAATTCAAAGAAAACAATTATTTTCAAACATGAATTCACTCTATGCATATTTCACAAATTATGACGTCCATTCTATTATTTGGGCAGATGATAAATCAGCACTCTTCAAAGTGCAATGAAGATTGCGGATCTAGGCCACAGACATTGCTGATCACCCGTTAACCCCGTCCAGATATTGCTGATCACTCTATGCATATTTATTCTTAGAATTGATGAATATTTGTCACTATAAGCATAAGCGTTATAAATATATTTTTTTTCTTGTATCATTTCATTTTTGGACTAAAGTTCACATTTTTTATATTTATCAATAAAAAAACTTATATATTTTTCTTAAGAAAATAAACAAAGTCGAAAATCTCTATCTCGTTTGGTTTGATTTGTCAAAATAGTGTTTGATTTTGATTTCAGGTTTTGCTTGACAGTGTCATGATGTGTAGTGTTGTGGTGTGGCACAGTAAGACATAATTAAGTAGTGTGTAAAATGCCTTAAAAGTTGAATCATGATTGTTTTTTTTTTTTTCACAATAATTTTATAATTAATTTTATTAATGATTGCAATGTGTTAATTGACATGAAAAATATATATTTTATAGATATCACACTCTAATATATTTTGATTATAAAATCTCTATTCCACCTCTGAAAATTGTTACCAAAATATAGCAAAATAGAGGTTTAATTGCTGCCTTAAAAATATAACTGTGAAAAAAATGCTCTTAGCTTTCATATAATTGATTAATTAAATCAAACACTTAAAATGTTTAGTTTAGGGTTCGTTTGGGATAGCTTCTGGCTACTATTTTTTTTTTGTTATTTTCAAGAAATTTTTTCTTACTAACAAACTGATTTAGCAAGAGTAAACAAGCTATTCCAAATGAAATCTTATATTTTCAATCTTTAGTTTTTATTAGTCATAATAGAAAACTAAAAAAAAGATTAAAAAAATTCCTATAATCATTTTTCATAGGAATCATTACCAATTAAAAAGCTTAGGTTTCATTTGGAACAGCTTTTTTACTATTATTTGAAGTAGCTTTCTAGAACACAAATTTTTAAAAAATTGTATTAAAAAGCTATATTAGAAAGCAGGAAGAAAGTTATCCAAAACTAAGGCTTCGTTTGGGACAGCTTTTTATTGCTTTCTAAAACGGAGTTTTAATACAAATTTTTTTACTTTTGTACTAAAACTCCATTTTAGAAAGCAATAAAAAAGCCGTCCCAAACGAAGCCTAAGGGTTCTTTTGGGACGGTTTTTTTATTGCTTTCTAAAACGGAGTTTTAGTACAAAATTTTTTATTTTTGTACTAAAACTCCGTTTTAGAAAGCAATAAAAAAGCCGTCCCAAACGCAGCCTAAATCTTAAGTGCACATTTTAATTGATTTTGACATGCATGTTATGTGCTTTTATTTATTTATTTTTTTAAAGTAGATAAAAAAATAATGTTTTAAAAACAAGCAACTTTTCAAAAATGTTGAAGCTAGGGACAATATAGGATAAATAAGCCGTTTTCACTTAACTTATATCATATTACTATGGGTCTATTTGGGTTGAGAGAATTTGAGAGAACTCTTCTACCTTTTTGTTATATTAATTGTTAGGTTCTAATGCATAGATCGTTGACCTCCCTTTTGGATATGCCCGTGGGTTATTCCATTTCATTTCAGGCCATTTTGATGGATTTAATGGATTTAAGCATTGATATTATGATATGATGCGAAGGATAAATTATTAGATGCTAATTACATACATAATTTTATATGTATAAGACATTAATAATTACATAATTAAGAAGTGCTAGAAATTTTGAGGCGGTAGAGAATGTATTTTACGTCTTAGTTGTGACGTCCTGAGATTTATAATGAAAGAATTGTATATATCTATTTTAGTCATTTAAATATAACTTATCAATTTCTTATGAACAATGGAAAGAAATATGATTGCATTTTTATTCATCAATATGTACAATTATTACAAGCTTAAAATATCATGTATACAGTAGTTATGATTCAAAAGACTAGTTACATCGCTATAAATACATCATGACTATTAAATAAACTAAAATTATAGGAAGAAAATTATGCATAGTGTCCGGAGCCTCATATCATATGATCCTTTCATTTTCCTGAAAAAATGTAAAAACTAATGAACTGATTAGCTTGAGCTTGATTCGAGTTAGTTGGTGGAGCAGACTAAATAATACTAAATATGTATATTATGTAGTGTGAAATCCCTTATGTAAAAGAAAGCTAAAGTCTTAAACATCAATGTGCCTTTTAGTATAATGGTTAGAATTTCGTTAAGAAACTTCACAGTTAAGCATGCTCATCCCAAAGCAATTTTGGGATGAGTGACCTACTCGGAAGTTACACCAATATGATAAAATCGTGAGGCCCTTAGGCCAAAGCAAACAATATCTAGCTAGTTAAGAGTTTGGGGTTGTTACAAATGGTATCAGAGGAATACACCAGTCGGAAGATCGGAACAAAGTGTCATACAAGACAAAGTGTTATGCCATTGGAGCCACTTCTTGAGCCCAATATAGCACAAAGTGCTACATGACGGGAGCCAACACTTGAACTTGTAGGAGCCACCTCTAGAAGCCTATATGCATGGTGGATGATTATAGGATAAAGATGCTGATGAGGATGACAATTATTTAGGTGGGGGAGATTGTGAACCCCTTAAGTAAAAGAAAACTAAACTCTTAAACATCGAGGTGCCTTTTGGGGTAATGGTTGAAATTTTATTAAGAAACTCTGCATTTACGCGTGCTCATCCTAGAGCATTTCTGGAATGAGTGACCTACTTGGAAGTTACACTAACATGACAAAACCACGAGGCCCTTAAGACAAAGTGGACAATATCTCTATAGTTAAGAGTTTGGGTTGTTGCACGTAGCTAGTCCAACGACGTTCTTAATTATATTCGAATCACCTTCTAATTTACTATAAAAATTAATAATTTTTTATCTTATATTTTTGTTGGATATTAGGCTGCCTCTTTCACTTTAATAAAATGCTTAATATTTAATAAAAACCTAAACTAACAAGTTATCTTTACAATGAGTTTTGAGATGTGCACTTCAAAGATGCATATTTGAGGAATTTAGGCACTTTAAAAAGGATGCAACAACAACAACAACATGAAGCCTTTATCAACTATGCGGGGCCGGTCACATGAAATCTTTTTCTCCGTTATGTCTAGTTAAGAGTCAAATTCTAATTTAAATATAATAAAGAATATCATTTCTAATATTTTTTAATCAAGTCTTTTTAGGTCAACTCTACCTTTCTTAACTTAAGTCAAATATAATTCATCAAATTTTCTAACCAGGTCCTTGGAAGGCCACCATTTTATGTGGCCAAACCATCTAAGACGACTCTCTCTAATCTTATCTTCCACTGGAGCTACTCCAATCTTTTCATGTATATGCTCATTTTGTATTCTATATATAAGAGTAAAGCCACTCATCCATCTAAGCATCCTCATCTCCGCAACTGAATATTATTCTTCTCTTTTAATAGTCAATATTCTACATCATAAAGCATTCCAGGTCTCACCACCATCTTATAGAATTTTCTCTTAAGTTTAAGGGGGGCTTTTCAATCACACAACACGGACGATGCATTCCTCTACTTCAACCATCCAACCTGAATTCTACTAATAATATCTGCATCTATTTCATCATCATTCTAAACAATAGATCTAATATTATCTAAAATGTGTACTCTTATTAATGACTTGATCGCCCAAAGTCACAATCCCCCAACTTTATTTATTATTACTAAAATTATACTCCATATATTAGTTTTAGCTCTACTAAAATGAAAGCCTTTAGACTCTGATGTCACTTTGGTTGTTAGTTGGGAGCTTTGACTGCCAATTAATTAATATGTCTTGAGTTCGAGTCTTGTACGTATATATATGATGTATGTGTGATTTTGCCTTAATTGACCTAAACATACAATAAATAAATACATAAAGAATGTAAATATAACTAAAGAGTAAAAGATGAAACATGTCATCTCTCTCTCTCTCTATCTCTCACTTTCTCTCTCATCTTGATACATCCTCAAAATTTTATCTTGACTGGGCATGAATCTCGAGGCAAAATCAAGTTTGAAACTTCTAAAATTAAAATTAGGACCATTTGAACTCCGATTTCAGCAAACTTATAGTCAAACTGAATGTCTTAGAAATACAAACCCAACGACACCAAATTCGACTAAATTTGAGCCCAAATGGGTCCAAAACAAGGGTTCGAAGTGCAGTTGGAGGTTTTGAACCACAATTTAGATTACTAAACAGTTTCCAAACATGATGTGGTTATAGTCGAATCGAGCGGCTTGACGAGACAAATCCAACGAGCCTAAGATTACTAAATTCTGACATCACTAAGACATTTAAATGTCCATCAAATGGTCCACGATCAAATGATTCAACATCGGCTGTCCATCCAAGCCACTCCTCATATGCCCTTGACCACCTATTTACGGGCCATGCCATGCTAGGAAATTTATAAATAGACCACTCCTCCCTCTTGAAAGGGGGTCTCCAAGCAATAGAGCAAGAAAGAGATCAGAGATTGCTCTTGCCTCATCGCTCCTACTCGACCACCGCCTGGAGTTCTATCAGATCACCATTTAAGGCATTGTGCTCCACCGAACCACCACTTGAGGCCATGAGTTCCGCCGGACCACCACTTCAGGACCTGAGTTTCACCGGGCCACCACCTGAGACCAGGACTTCTGCCAGACCACCACCTAAGGCCCAGACTTTTGTCGGACCACCACTTGACGTTCGAACTTCTATCGAACCACCACATGATGCCCGGAGTTCTGTCGGACCACCACATGATGCCCGGAGTTCTGCCAAACCACCACTTGAGGCCCAGACTTCTGTCGGACCATCACTTGAGGCCTGCACTTTTGCCGGACCACCACCTGAGGCCCGAAGTTCTGCCGGACCACCACCTGACATCTGAAGTTCTGCCGGACCACCACCTGAAGCCTGAACTTCTGCCAGACCACCACCCGAGGCATGAAGTTCTGCCGGACCACCACATGACGCTTGGAGTTCTGCCGTACCACCACCTAAAGGCCCGAACTTCTGTCGGACCACCACCCGAGGTTCAAACTTATGTCGGACCACCACTTGAGGCCCCGACTTTCTGCTGGACCACCACCTAAGGCTCGGACTTCTACCGGGCCACCCCTTGACGCCTAGAGTTCTACCGGAGTACCACCCTACTACTAAGATCATTTGGACCCATGTCTCGTGCCAACTGCAGTCATTCCGACCTCCATCACCTACTACGGTCTTTCTGACATTTACCCTATCGACTATGGTCCTGCCGACCAAACAAACATGTCTATATTGATTATTGTAACTTCCACCATGTAATACGTTCTATATGATGTACATTTGTGACATCAAGCCAAGGTCTCCTCCTAAGGAAGTGCCTCATTTGTAATTGACTGCAAATGCTAGTGGATTCATTCAAATTATGCCATGCCATGTGGTTTTTCCCGCTTTTTAGGGGTTTCCACATAAAAAATTCTGGTGTCTCTTATGAACGATATATCATCTCTCTTATTTGCTTGTGTGCTGGATCTTCGTACAACACTAAGACATTAAACTTTATATTTCTCTACCGTCGCAAATACTCCAGGACGCAACACCTCTAAATAAAGAAACGAATCAACCAACAAGTTTGCCACCTCACAATTTGTCCTCACCCTTTACCTTAAAAAAATAGTAAAAGAAAATAAAAAAAAACACGAGTTCCAAAATCTATTTACAATTGAAGGCTAGCTCAGCTTAAAAATAAGTTATTATAGGAGGACGATAAATTGAGCTCTCTCACAATTTTAGACTATGATAAAACCATTAAAAATTGATGGGATCTTATGTTGGCATCACATGACTTTTCATATTCCACAAGCTTTTCTTATTCATTTTGTGAAGTATTGATGTATAGCATAGGCACACAGTTGTCGATTGCTCTTCATTTGAATTTACAAAGATGATACATATATATTTAATTTGTGCCTGTTTTAAAATAAATTACTTTGATGTATAATTCAAACACCATAAATAATAAGAAAATATATACATCTTTAAATAAATATAAATATTTAAATATCTAAAAATTCTATAATAGATTTGTAAATTCCCCATTATGATTTCCTTTGACTACATCAGCTAATTAAAAGTTTACTGAAATTTAATATTTTTTCTAAATAATTTCCATTTTCTTGGCAAAATTGAGAAAGGAAACTGGAAAAGGAAATCTATAGAAGCCCGGCAATTGGAAGAGAAGTTTTTTGACTTTTTTCCCGTAAAAGAATTAGAAGACAACGCAGGAAGCTACACTTTTGAGTACATGAACTGATCTGAAACAGAAGCGCGCGGAGTGAATGAAACTGATTTTCTCCCGTCTTCTCCTTATCAAAAATCCCAGCTTTTGAGGAGTGTTAACAACTTCCTCTCTTCTATAAAAGAAAGATCTCAAAGAGTGATACACACGCTGGTTTCGAATCCGGCAATTTTCCTCATTCGTGATTCCTGAAAATGGTGGCGCACCGAATCAGTGCCGATGGAGATCGCCGGGGGCTTGTCTTCGCATATTACATCACCGGCCATGGATTTGGTCACGCCACACGTGTGGTAGATGTAAGATTACGTCTTCTTCTAAAGTCCTGGATTTCTTTAGTTTCCCGATATTTTATTAGAAATTGACGACCTTCAAGTCGAGCCCGTTGAAGCAAAGTTTAAAACTAAACGCCCTAGTGGGCCAGTTTCTGCTCTGATTGATAAATACCCGCGCTTTGGTGTAGGATTTCGAATGAAAGGAATGAAAGGAAATTGTTTCGTTTCTTCTCAGTTCTGACCGTCTTTCTTCTTCTTCTTTTGGTTTCTCCTTTTCCCTTTTCTTCTTTCGGAGTTGGATTATGGGGAAAGTTTGCATTGGCGATGCGGATGAAGTGGTGTTGGTTAAGCGAAAGCACGCCATCCTCGCTTACTACGTTACCGGCCATGGTTTCGGCCACGCTACCAGGGTTGTCGAGGTGGAGTCAATTCATTACTCCTTCGTCTCTCCACTTAGTATTTATTTCGTGTTTTGATCAAGGAATAGGATGTTGGGTTCCGTTCAGAATGAGGGTTTTTGAGTATTAGTAGTAGAATTATGGATGAATTGTTTGATTGATGAATTTGGAGGTAGGTTTTTTTGCAGAAGGTGGAATTGTGACAATATTGGTTTTGACTACCGCAAAGCTTGCATTTTTAGTGGGAATTTGGGGTGGTGAAAGTCATTTGAAGAGTACTTCACGTTTATTGGCTTGCATTATTATATATTGAAGAAATTTTTTTCATCTTGGCAGGTCGTCCGGCATCTGGTTGAAGCTGGGCACGAGGTTCATGTGGTTACTGCAGCTCCAGAGTTTGTTTTTACAACGGATATACAATCTCCTAATCTGTACATTCGAAAGGTAATGTAGAGGGAGTTATTCAACTATTTGTTTCAAGGATTTGCTGATTTCGTGATGCGAAAAAAAAAAAGGTTTTGTTGGATTCTGGTGCTGTTCAAACTGATGCTTTGACAGTGGATCGCTTAGCTTCCTTGGAGAAGGTTGTCATATTATTTTCCTTATGTACTCTGTTAGTATGATGTGCTATGAGGTTTCATTTGAAGTTTTATATTGATGAATTTTTTATTCATTCTGTGAAGTATCTTGAGACTGCCGTTGTGCCTCGAGCCTCAATTTTGGCAACTGAGGTTGAGTGGCTCAAGTCCATAAAGGCTGACTTAGTGGTAATGACTATTCATATTACAACAGGAAGTTTGTTAGTAGTTTTATAATTTTCCATTATTTAAAGAGCTTTTTTTGCTATAGTTTTAATTTTGTTGTTTTTGTGGAAACAGATTTCAGATGTTGTTCCTGTAGCATGCAGGGCAGCAGCTGATGCAGGGATACGATCTGTTTGTGTTACAAATTTCAGGTAAATGTTTTCATCATTTTTTTTCTTCTATGGTATTATGCAGTAATGTTATGCTATTTTGTATGCTTTATTGGTTGTGAGGACCAAGTTGACAGGAACTATAAAAACCAAAAACCTTATGTTTTGTTACTTGGGCTCACTATAATTTGTCTTGCAGCTGGGACTTTATATATGCTGAGTATGTCATGGCTACTGGAAATCATCTTCGGTCTATTGTCTTGCAGGTGATAAATTAAATATTTGGACAATTTTAACTTTTCTCTCTTTTGTTCAACTTTACTGCTCTATGGCCTTGTATATCTTCTTGAGCCATCTTTGACATCAAGGCTATCACACACTGAGTTTGGAAGAGGGTACATCTTGACATCATGCGATGTGACGAAGAGATAGGCAAAACATGTTTTGTACTCGAAAAAAGGAAAATTGATATATAAGTAATATAACAAAACATATCAGTGTAAAAAAAGAAAGAAAAATTATGATTTCATTTCATTACTATAAATCAAAATGATAGTACATTAATAAAGAAGGGAAAACAAAAATAAGAAGAGAATTGAAAAAAATAACTTTAGAAATAAAATTACCCAAGAAAAAAATAAAATAAAATAAAAATCCTACTAGAAAGCTTACAAAATTAAATGAGATACTATTGCTTATAAATCTTTTCCTGTGGTGATGATTCATCTAGGACTGTATTAAAACTTGGTATGAGCAAGGTTTACAACGAGTGAATTTTCTATTTATTAAAGTTAGTAGCAAGGATATGTTACATGCAATATGAACAACCAAAAAGGGAAGAGTGACCATATAGTAGCAGATAATCAATGTCATTAATGTATAAATGAACCATGGCGTAATTCATATAATGGATTTTAGTACCATAATATTTTAAATGTGTATGCCAAACAATCATCAATAAAATTTCATTAAAATATATCCATATGCAATCATAATAAGTATCATCATAATTCTCAAAATATAACTTATTAGTCATTAATTGAGCCCACAAAGTGATGACTCAATAGGATTTTTTTGGATTTTCTTGGTTTGATACTTTGATGTTTACCTTCCCTGCACTGGGAAGGTAAATACCAAACCAAGAAAATCCAATAGTTTCTTATAGGGTCATTACTCAGTGGGTTCGTCGGCCCGCCTAGTTAGTATCTAAAAGAGTTTTGTTGATCTACATATCACTGCATATATACATATAATTTCTAAGTTTTTGATTTGCAAGTTTATGATTTTTCATTTGCAAGTTTATGATGAGTATTGTATGATAAATATGGAAACTAATTTTATAACATATAGAATTTTTAGGATAATATTTATTGCATTTAATAAAACTAATGTGTATAAAAATAGACTCTCTTCAATAGAAATTAAATTTAATGAATAGGAGTTTGTGTGGCAATAAATCAAGGCAAAGTTACTTCTATCACATGATTAATTTATTATGAACAATAATTGAGATCTATTAACACACGCATAGTAATAATTAAATATTGGAAGTAGATTTGTCTGCCCACTATATTTAAGAATTTAATATAAGTAACAATGATAACATCCTTAACAAAAAATGGTACATTTATCTCTTAATAAACAATAGTCGCTTACCCCTGAGTGAGTGACATGAAATTCCAAGTTTAGTAATGATCCATCCAATTCACCCTAGATGAAAATCATGACCCTACTCATTACTAACTTCAATCAATTACTGAAACACTTTTAGAGTTGTTATTATCAAAGCCAAATTGGAACCTAATCAGCTTAAGCTATTAGCCTTATTCTAAATTTAAACTTATAATTGTAAACTATCTTATAATCTATTCCCACTTCAGTGCATTAAACACGAGAGTTTAATGAATTTAATGAAAGTTTACATTAATCTATTCAAGAAATCACAATAATAATGATAATCCAGATATACCATCAAGAAAAAGTAAATTTTCTCTTGTTTATTCTAGTGAAGGGGAAGGAAAATTGAGGAAGAAGAAGATAAATATTGATGTAGAGATAGAGAGAGAGAGAGAAATAGAGGGTGTTTACTTTGTTGCTCAATAGCTGCAGTCAGATCAATCACATAACAGGAGAGAGACACAGAGGAGAGAAGATTTTAAACCAATAGGAATATGACACTTCAGATCAACCAAAAAAATACTTAGAAAAATCAACTCCATAGAGCTAAATGGCAAAAAAAAAAAAAGAAGAAGAAAGAAATATTTTCTTAATTTGAAAGGGTTTGTACATTTCACCCTAAAACTATTCTGCGTTTGAAACATCCTCTTGATGTCATTTTCTTTAGTGAGGTTTTAATCTTTGGAAACAATGCTCCTTTAAACCTTTTCTCTACATTAACCTGTTCTTCCCGACTTATTTTTCTTCTCTTTTGTATCTCAACCGTTAATCTTTAAAAGTATTATGTTCAAAATGGCTATGTTAACTTCAACACTTTGCTCGCTTATCTAACCTTCCTTTAAGTTATCTTGCTTCTAATCTGCGGGTGAAACTCCTAGTATTGGTATAACACGCTGGAATATGGTCTACCATGTTTCCACTGAGTAGTTCGATAATAGAAATAGGTGTGAGTTTATTGATGGCCTCAATCCGTTCACAGGAAGGCTCCTTCTTTATCTTATTAGCTATTGCAGTTTTGATCAGCCAGTTTCCTGCTTGAAATGCTGTTACACTTGTTTAAATATGGACCTTAGGTTTTTATTTTCATTTTATACTTGTTAGACTTAAAATTTCTAAACAAGATTTTAGAAGTCATTTGGTGGAAATGGAAAATGGCTTCTAGGTGTCAAAATATGTTGTTTATGATTATCAGCAATTTCCTTTCGATTATGGTTCATATAGATTGAGTTACTGTACTTATCCACTTCCTTTTCCTCAAGCATTTGACGGTCTTTATCCCTTGTTTTTTAATACCATTTTCAGATAGCTGAAGATTACTCTCACTGCGAATTCTTGCTTCGGCTTCCTGGATATTGTCCAAGTATGCCATCTATTAAGCTAATTATATATGTTTTTTTTTTTCTTTAAGTTTCTTTTAGTTCTGGCTGGTTACTACTTTAGCCTTTTGGCCTTCTCTAACTCATTCTTCCTTTTCTCAAAATTTCAGTGCCTGCTTTTCGAGATGTTATTGATATACCTTTAGTTGTCAGAAGATTACATAAATCTAGATTAGAGGTCTGGATATCTCAAGGGGAAAATAGTCTTAACATTTAAATTTTCCTTTCTTCTTCTATGAGTTATTTTGATATTATTGCTGTACAGGTGAGAAAGGAACTGGGCATTGGCGAGGATGTGAAATTGCTTATTTTTAATTTTGGTGGCCAGGTATGCCAAGCTGCCATCTTGGCTCTTGCTGAAGTCTTTCTCATGCTTTTCTTAGAATAGATGTTCAGGCATGCAAATTGTAAATTGATGATAAAAACCAAGTAGCAAACAGGTGCATCGCATTGCATTGCAAATGTGATGATACTTGGATATGCTTATTTTTTTTCCCTCATGCGAAATGGAATATTTCTTTATTTTTTAAATATTCATCTCAAAATACTTGTTGTAGCAGACATGCCAAATTATCTCTCTTAGACTGCACCAAATATGGTCAACTTACAAGAATGAAATTAACACCAAATATAAATTTAATTTAGAAGAAGAGGCAATCACATGGATAAGAAGACAATAATTTTTGGTTTTTCGCAAAAAATGTGTTTGGTGTGGAGTCTAATTTCTGTTGACCTTTTCGATCTCTAAGTCTTGGATAATATTTGATCTTAATATTTTAATTTTAGTTCCTATCAAATTTAATATCCTATTCACACATAATCCTTCAAACTTGCACCACATGTTGCTTTATAAAAGGAGAATAAATCAATGATAGCAAGACATCACACTTCTCTTTCATCCAACCAAGTGTAGAGGCGAAGATCAAAGAAGTGTCTTGTGGAATAATTGAGGTTAGTAGTTATCTTGATTGATGACATAGGAACAATTTCCTTATTAGGTGGTTGTTATGATACGAAATACTTGAAATGATATTTAGAACCTAGAGTACTCAAGGAACTTGGTGGTTATTATAGCGACTGGCAAAGTGGTCTGACATTAGAGTCGAAATGCTTTATTTTATGTCCGATGAGCTTAACCTACGGAGGCATGTTAGAGAGGTAATAAGAGAGTGATCGAGTGAGAGAGGAAGAATACTAGTAAGATAAAACAACAACAATAACAATAATATCAAGCATTTATCCCACTTGTCGGTTCGGCTACATAAATCCTTTTTCTCCATTATGTCATGTTAAGAGTCAAATTCTCATTTAAATCTAAAAAATGTCATTTCTAATATTTTCTAACTAAGTCTTTTTAGGTCTACCTCTACCTTTCTTAACATAAGCTAAATCTAATACATCTACTCTCCTAATCAGGTCACCAGAAGGCTTCCATTTTATGCAACTAAATCATCTAAGGCGACTCTCTCTACTCTTATTTTCCATTGGAGCTACTCCAACCTTTTCACGTATATGCTCGTTTTGTATCCTGTCTCTAAGAGTAAAGCCACTAATCCACTTGAGCATTCTCATCTTTGCAACACTTAATATTATACTTCTATTTTAGTGGCCAATATTCTGCACCATAAAACATTACAGGTCTCACCACCATCTTATAGAATTTTCCTTTAAGTTTGAGGTGGACCTTTTTATCACACAATAAGTCCGATGCATTCTTCCACTTCAACCATCCAACTTGAATTCTACTAATAATATCCCTATCTTTTTCATCATCACTCTGAATAATAGACACGAGATATCTAAACCATGTACTCTTATTAATGACTTGATTGCTCAAAGTCACAACCCCCCCACTATATCTATTGCTAATAAAAATTACAATCCATATATTCAATTTCAGACCAACTCAACTAAAACCTTTAGACTCTAAGGTCGATCGCCATTATTCAAGTTTACCTTCAACTCCATCTCTAGTATTATCAACAAGAAGAATATCATTAGCAAAAAGCATACACCAGGGTACAACCTCTTGCAAATGTCTAGTGAGAACATCCATGACTAAAGCAAAAAGATATGGGCTTAAGGTTGATCTTTGATGTAATCCAACTGGAATAGGAAAATTGATGGGGACATCAGTTGGAAAGTCTATCGTCGACGTGGCCGTAGATCTACGGCCACGATTTATCCGATGTACTTTTGATTTTAGTATTGTTATTTTCTTATTGGTGTATTTTATTTTCTTATGGATGTAATTTATTTCAGCATTTTTCCCTTTTTACCCTTGCTTGAGGGATTGAGTCATGTAGCCCCTTGAGGGTATTTGAGTCCTTTTGCTTTAAGTCATTGTAATAGGCTATTTAAAGCCTTCATCTTGTACTTTTGAAGCTAATGAATGATATTGAAAATTTTTCCTGCATTTGATCTTCTTGAAGCTTTTGTGTGAGAGCTTGAGAGAGAGTTTGAAAGATTGGTGGAGCATAGGAGAGGCCACCCGTAGTACCCAACAGTCACCACCGGTGGCTCTTCATCTTCCCTTCTTTCCCATCTATCCAACGCCCACCACCGGTCATTCCCCACCACTAACCGCCACCTCCTAATCTCACCCACCCAAGCTCAACCTCCCCAAAACCGTCCCCTCCCCATCATCTTGCCAGCCGCCCCTTTAATCGCCGGCCATCTCCCTAATCTCGGCCTCCCCTTCCACCACCACCCCACTTCCTCGTAATCGCCTGCTCCTTTGCCGCCACCTCATGTATTTCAAATTTGAAATTTGAAATTTTTGATGAGTGAAAGTTTCCAAATTTTGCCCGGTGCCAAATTAGGAAGTTTCAATGAGGTTTCAATTTCAAATTTGAATTGAAACAGATTTGAAAATTTTATTCATTAATTTGTCGGAGCGAATTAGGAAACCCATTACACTCTCCCCAAAACCCCTCCCCCTTCACTATGCCGCCGGCCCCCCTTGATGGTCCCCCTCCTTTAATGCTACATTAAGGCCCCTAATTACATGTATTTGAAATTCAAATTTCAGATTTTTCCCTCCACTTCTACTAAAAATCTGAGAATAGTTTTGGTATGGAGATTATAACATTTTTTCTTCATCCCATCTAGTTCTTCCCTAACCCTAGCCTCTTCCTCCCTCCCACCGTCATCTATCTCCCTCCCTCTCTAGTTCATTCTCTCTTTACATGATATTGATGCATGGTCGATTCGGCGTTTGATTCCGATTTTGCATCCGACGGCCAAGGCGTCGTGGTTCTTCTCCAATTTCCATCGTCGGCGCGATTCCAATCATTGATGGATCCCTAGAAATTTCTTCCTCCCGTAGTAATTGTTGAAGAAGACTAATGAAAGGTACGTGGTGAATCACGACGTCTCTCCGAGAAGATGATCTTTTTCCTTGATTCACTTACTTTCAAATTCTACTTACTTTGTTGAGAGTTTGTTTAAGAAAGATATTGTGCTACTAATCGCCATCCACTAGTAATCATAGGGTTGTTACTTCTTTGCTCTTAGATCTCATTGTTATGTCTTGGTTAAGTTGGAAACTACTCCACATGCAATGTTTTAATTTTCCTATGTGCTTTGATTTTGTTTAGTCTCTTGCGTAGCTTAGCCTAAACGGAATTGACCATTTATGAGTTTTACTTTGTTGTTTTAATCACGAATAACGAAAATCTAAAATTGTTCTTAAACTATTTTGTGCAAGTTTCCGATTTTGCATGTAGTCCTACATCAAAAATACTTGGTCAAATCACCTTGGGTTTGAACATAATTAGTATCTCCTGCATACATATCCTTAATGACTTGAATATAAGCATTATTAAGCCCTTATTTTCTAGAACTCTCAATAGCACTTCTCTCGAAACTTTATCATATGCTTTCTCTAAATCAATAAATATCACTTATAGATCCTCCTTATTCTCTCTATGCTTCTCCATCAAATCTCTCAATAAATGTATAGCTTCCATAGTAGACCTACCCGACATGAATCCAAATTGATTTTGAGAAACATTAGTATCATGTCGTAACCTATGCTTTATAATTATCTTCAATAGTTTTATAGTATGTCACGTTTACTCAATTTCTCTATCATTCGCACAATATTCTGCATCACATTTATTCTTAAAAATATGAATCATTCATTCTTTACTCATTCTCCACTCTTCTGACATATTTTTAGTCTTCAAAATAATATCAAACAATTTAGTAGGCCAAGAAATTTCTTCATCTCTTAAGCATTTGAACACCTCTCTTAGAATATCATCAAATCCAACAGCTTTTCCATATTTCATTTTCTTTAAATCCTTTCTAACTTCGGTTTTACTAATGCGCCGATAAAAACAAAAATCTTTATTTTCATTTAAGGTGCTAAAGTCACTAAAGTCAATTGTATTCTCAGAATCTTTATTGAAAAGCTTAGCAAAATATCTCATCAATCTTTGTTGAATATCTTCTTCTAATAAAATAACTATTTGATCTTCATCCTTAATGCACTTCACTTGAACTAAATCCTTGCTACTCATATCTCTTTTTTTTGCTAAATTATACATTTATCTTTCGTCCTCCTTAGTATTAATCTATTATATAAATCATTAAAAACTAAAATCTTTACATCTCATCTTACGTTCTTAGACTCCTTACGGATCTCTTTATATCTTACCCAATTATCAAAGTTTTTACATCTAAACTAATTTTTATAACAAAACTTCTTATTTTTAATCTTTTTTCCACATTTTGATTCCACAATCAACTATTTTTTATTATTAGTAGCTTTTCTCTTTGATACTCTAAATACTTCCTTTACAATATTTTTAATACCACAAGCTATTTTTTCCTACATAACATTAGTTTTCTCATGCACAGATAAAATTTTAAGATCTAGAATCTTTCTCTCAAAAATATTTTTGTTAAATCTTTTTTTTTTTAAATGCTCTCATCTAATCCTAGAATAATTTTTTACTTTATTTTTTATTTTCCGTTTATTCATCTTAAAGCTCAAAACTAATAAGCAATGTTAGGTACATAAACTTTCACTAGGAATAATTTTACAATCTTTGCAATCTAAATGATTTATTTTTCTTATAAAACATAATTAATCCGAGTTTTACTATTTTCATTTTTATAAGTGATGAGATGCTTATGTAGAACTATAAATGCTTTAGATGATGGATATAAGAATTTGTACGCTTTCAAGTAAGAGCAATAAGAAGTAAAACATTACCCACTTAACGAAAATGAAAAATAAGAAAGGGGTGCCTTAGTTTAGGCCAAGTTACACAATAATAGTTAGGATCACAAAATAATTAAAAAAAATATAAGCAAATA